ATAAAGAGGTCTGGATTATAAGTCACTGCACTAGGTTACTGCCAACTCTATTTCTTGGCTGTGCCACCTTGGGTGAGTCACTTCATTCCTCTGAGCCTCAGTTTATCTATTTCTAAGAAGGGGTTGAAGATACCTGTTCTTCCTACCTGAGAATACCGTGAGTGAAATGAGATAGAGCAGACGAAAGGGCTTTGGAAGCCATCAAGCACCATGTTGTTCCAAAGGTTTATGGGTTAGGGAGTGATGGTACAATGGGGAAGGATGGGGACTTGAGGTAGAGATTGTGTCTGTTACCTGCGAGACACTGAATACTTCAGATGACCCAGAGCAAGCTGTAACGAATAGTATTCTGTCACAGGTTTGTGATATTTACCCGCTAAGGAGATTTTCATTTTCAAATGTGCTTTCCCAGATGTTCTGTTTCTGGTGGTCTAGTTCCACGGTCTGTCCCCCAGAGAGAGCTAGCTTGGGCAAGAGGAGGCTAGTTCTGGATTTGAAAGAGGGACTCTGCTTAGCATTGTGGTCTTCCTTTTGTGACCTGTTACGACCTCTGCTGGACTGCACTGAAGGTTTCTGGGATTTCTTTCAATGGTTTCATTCAGCTAGTGTCATTGCCTGAGATTGTTAATAGACATCCCAAAAGTAACACATCAAAAATGGCATTTTTGCTTTCTGTCCTGCACTGGAGTTCAGAGACGTGGCTGACCTGCTTTGCTTGACTGTGAAAGACAGTGTGAAACTCCTCAGTAAGCTGTGCAATCGGCTGCTTAGCTGAGCAGTGAGAATTCCTCCAAACTGGGTATTCTGCAGTGGAGGAATCCCCTTACCTTTTCAGGCTGGTAGACTCTTCGCTCTTCATAGGTATTTTCTCATTGTTCAGAGGATGCGCAACCATGCTTTTGGTTTTTCATTGTACGATCCTTATTTAGGCAACAAAATTGATGAGCCATGGAAGGTTTTAACTGTGTCTGCTCAAGTTTCAGGGTAAATCATTGACTACTCAGCGTGGTGGAAAGTATTGGGATGCCTGAGTGCTAAGTGCACCTCTGCCAGTAACTCCTGATGACTTTGGACCAGGAATGTAAACTTGCTCCTCAGTTTCCCTATCAGTAGAATATGTAGGGCCCACTTGGGCCTTGAAAGATGGAACAGTCAAGTAAAAATTCGCAGCAGAGCCAGTTGGCAGATAAGGAGAGTAGAGAATCAATGTCATGTCTATATTGCACATGACCCAGCATATTTCAAAACTGTAGCATCAAGTCAACAAACATACATTTGGAAATAACCAGACTGTCAAAGACAGTTATATAAAGTTAACCTCTTGATTTGTTTTTGAGAAGGAGAGAGATTCTTTCGTTGACACTGACTTTAGTTGGGATGAAATAAGAACTGAATTTCTTTTGATCTTCGGATTCTGTCTTTCTCTAATAAGAAAAGCCCATTTCTTTACAAATGAGTTGTTCCTACATGTTTCTGCCTAGGCTGTTGTATGAAGGAAGGGCAAGTAAACACAGTCTAGTTTCTAGGTGAGAGCAAAGCACGTCATCTCTGGACATGGAGGACTTTGGTGTAAAGTATATTTCCAAAGGGAAACTCTTGCAAAATGCGGACGCTGATCCCAGTTCTGACCTTGGCGGCTGGTGCCAGCATTGGCAGTGGCTCCTTTATTCAGATGCAGAGAAAAGCCAAGAAGTGAAATGATATTTTCCTTCCATCATCATTACTCAGTATGACTGCCTTGCTTAGCAATAAAGAAATTCAAATGTTAAGAGAAACTGCAGTGCATTTTCTTATCCAAAAATGCATTCTCCTGTATAGTCAAGCGATTCACTATGTTCTCATATTGTTGCTGAAGAGAATGGTCTTGTGAATTACTTTTGAAATTGTAAGTCTTCTCTGTAGCTGGTGTATTCATATTGTCTGAATTCTAAGGGGAAATAGCTCTTAAATTGGAGTATGCATAAGAATCACCTGAGTAATTTACTAAAAAGATAGATACCTGACTCCCACTCTTAGTCACTGGGGCTGAAGAACCTACTTTTTAAAAAAATTCTACTTTAAGTTCTGGGGTACATGTGCAGAATGTGCAGGTTTGTTACATAGGTATACATGTGCCATGGTGGTTTGCTGCATCTATCACCTTGTCATCTACATTAGACATTTCTCCTAATGCTATCTCTACCCTAACCCTCCATCCCCAACAGGCCCCAGTGTGTGATGTTACCCTCCCTTCATCCATGTGTTCTTTGTTCAACTCCCACTTACGAGTGAGGACATGCGGTGTTTGATTTTCTGTTTTTGTGTTAGTTTGCTGAGAATGACGGTTTCTAGTTTTATCCATGTCCCTGCAAAGGACATGAACTCATCCTTCTTTATGGGTGTATAGTATTCCATGGTGTATACGTGCCACATTTTCTTGATCCAGTCTATTATTGATGGGCATTTGTTCCAGAAGGTTCTGATTGGGGGATCCATAGAGTTGCCTTGAGTGTTACCACCTGGGTGCCATGCTCAGTTATCAAAAACCTTAGAGCTAAGCGTGTCCCCTTTATAAGCCAAGCCCTAGCTGCCGCTTTTAGAACTGCACTTGAACTTGCCTATATAAATTAAAGGTATAATGATAATAATTATTTTTGACTTACAACAATTTTCTGATTTATACAAACAGTATGGAAGGAGCATGAACCTAGCAGTCAGAAAGGCCTGCGTGTGGATCTTTGAGCTTCCTCTGTTCAACTTCTCTGAGGCTCTGTTTCCTCACCTGTCAGCAGTCAAATGGGAGCAGTATTACTCACTTGACTGAGAGAGAGGGGTGATGAGGATGGAATAAAGTGGCTTATATGTAAACACCTTGCCCTATGTGTGGCATTTAGTAGATGCCAATAAATAGTACTTATCTCCTTTTTTTATAGGAAGCAGGAATTAACTTAAAAAAACATAAGCACTTGGCTGGGTGCTGTGGCTCACATCTGTAATCCCAGGACTTTGGGAAGGCAAGCTGGGTGGATCACGAGGTCAGGAATTCAAGACCAGCCTGGCCAAGGTGGTGAAACCTTGTCTCTACTAAAACTACAAAAATTAGCTGGGCGGGGTGGCGGGTGCCTGTTATCCCAGCTACTTGGGAGGCTGTGGCAGGAGAATTGCTTGAACCCAGGCAGCGGAGTTTCCAGTGAGCTGAGATCTGCACCACTATACTCCAGGCTGGGTGACAGAGTGAGACTGTGTCACACACACACACACACACACACACACACACACACACACACACACACATGCTTAAAGCAGATATTCTTAAGGAAAACTTTTTTTTTTATCTGCAAGGGTTAGATTTTTTTGGCCTTGATACACAACACTTTAAAAGTCAGTCATTGTTTAGAGATCTTGATAGCATGTCCCTCCTAATTCTTTTAGATAATACAGGAGTTATGTTGTAAATACAGGTTTTCAAGTGAGATTCCAGGAGGTAGACAAGGGAATGCAGGTGAATTGCAACCTTGGTATCTTTGTGGCCATTCCCAGGGTCCATTGCAGAGAACACAGATCAGATGTTCCACCTGAAATGACACCTGCTCCTCGTCAGAATCTCACAAGAAGAACCTTGTTTCTCAGAAGGTAGCCAGTAATGGATTATTTGGACTATCTTGTTCAAACTCTTTCCAGGCAAAATGAGAACATGGCAGAGGTCTGAGAGAAACAGTGAACTATTGTACTTGTGGTATACAGCGAGCTCCTTGTTGTAAGGTGTTTTCTAAACTGAGTTTCAGCAGTATCTGCCCACATTTACCCCCTGCCCAACCCAGCTTTACTTTTTGAGAGAAAATCATCTTTGTATTGGCTGATTAATTTTAGGTTCAATGTTCTTGTCCTTTATAACACTCATGTGATTACTTAAGAAGTAAATTTTTAAATATCACCGTGTTCCTCCTTCTGAGGCCCCATATCAAAAAAGGACTTTGGTAGCAAACACTGCCCATCTTCATTCTGTGTCTGGAGAAACTGCAAGTTAAATGAAGACTCTCGGTGAGCTCAAAGCCACGAGTGTCCTCTCACTGCCTTCTCTCTGCGCCTTTGTAAAGGGGACTCTGTACGTCCCAGTCTTGAAGCTGGGCAGCCTCCATAACTTCTATTCTCTGAAGGTCATACTCTGGAAACCAAGAGTATTCTTTTAGTATTTCTCTTAGTATCCTTGGAAGCTCCATCATGTGATGTTAGGGTCTGAAAAGATCCTATAAATCCTCTGGGCCAATCCCCTTTGTTTTATGGGAAAGGAAACTAAGGTTCAGAGACATCCACATTGTTCCTAGTTTATTTAAAAAAAAAAAAAATCCTGCCTGCAGTGTGCGTATCAGACACTATGCACATAACAGGAGGCTCACCATAGGCCCCCAACAGGTTAGATGAGTTGCCGTTGATGATCAGGAATGACCCTCTGGTAAAGTAGGCTAGAAACTGTCCAGCACATACTAAGTTAATAAGTAAAGAAACGTTTACCGAGCACCTTTGGTACATGAACATTCCACTGTGTCCCGAGAAGGAGAGAGAAAAATACAACTGGGGAGACAAAAAGGATAAACTTGAAGAAATGACCCCCATCTTCAGGGACTTACAGTCCACAGGGAACACCTTCTGAAGGTGCCTTCTAAATCAAGATAAAGACATATTACAAATCCATATTACAAAATATTGAGCCAAACAAGATTGTATACTCAATAGTGCAATGATGTCATCCTAGAGAAGCTTGGGAGGAAGGGAGAAGAGAGCAGCCTCCACTGAGGAATATGCCTGGTGTTTCCCCCCCAGGCTGTTAAAGCCACGACTGTCATATGGGTCTTTGTGTCTCCCATATGACATAAGGATTATGGCTTGGAGGGACTGCTCCGTTCACACTGTCGAATCAATCTGTGTGGCTCATTTGACACCAAAATTACAGAGATACTATGACGACCCGTTTTGCAGGAATGCTGTCTACTCACCTGGATCTTTTGTTGATTTTCTTTCAGTGGCCCACCCTCAGGACCCTCACCACCCATCGGAGAAGCCTGTCATTCACTGCCATAAATGTGGGGAGCCTTGCAAGGGTGAAGTGCTTCGGGTCCAGACCAAACATTTCCACATCAAGTGTTTCACCTGCAAAGGTATGGTGCCTCCAGCTTCCTGGCTCAGAGGCATGTCACGGTCGGGGCTTGCCTTGGGTCCATCCCATCCCCTTGACTCCACATTGGGTCACTGGATAAGCAAATGCCCTCGGAAGCCCTGCCATCGTTTACTGCCAGTTTGGGATTCAGGTAGACTAGGGCGAGAATGAAGCCTGCGGAAACCAGTGGTTCATGGCCTTTGGGTGCCTGCTGAGGTCCCTTCTGGAAGTAGGGACTAACACGGAGAAAGAGCAGTAAAAACACAGTTCTGTGTTTTTTGCCTTATTTTTCTTTTTCTCTGAAATGACAAACTCCTGCTAAAAAGTAACTTGTCCCAATATCCATTAGTTCTAGGAGGCCTGGAAAACTTGCAAGATTGGGTGCCAAGTCACTGGCTCCTCTGTGTGTGTGTGTGTGTGTGTGTGTGTGTCTGAGTGCGTGTGTGTGTGTGTGTGTGTGTACAGAAAAATACCTCCCCTACAAGAAGCTACCAGTTTGGTATTGATTTCCATTAACAAGCCTACCTTTTGAGGTTTATAAAGATTGGCATCTTTGTATGAAATATGTCAACCTGTTATTCCAGAGCCAGGGCATGGCTGACTGGGGAAAAAAATGAAAAACGATTTTGTGTGTTTGTTTGATAAATAGGTTACTTGGGCTGAGGGCATGTCTGGATAGCTCAAGATGGGGTTGAAGGATGTAGGAGAAGGAAGGGGGACGAAATCTGAGTGTACTCTTAGATTTATTTTGTGCCCTGGTTGGGGTAGACACCCTCAGTCCTATGTCCTGTGTGTGGTAAGCACCTTCATTCTTGGAAACTGGGTTTCATTTTGAGTGTCTTACATCCCAAATACTCATCATTGTCATCCTAAGCCATCTATCCACGGCCATGGGGCTCTCAGGTAGATTCCAGGCTTCCTAGCGACCACGAAATACATGAATAAAGGAGGAGGGAGTGCTTTCCTGGAGTCCACAGCTGTTCCTTATGCTGAGGGTGAAGTTTTCAGGAGAAAGAACACTTACATGTGTAGCTAGGGCAGGAAGGTCGAAGGAAGCGAGGGTGTGAGCTTAACTCCCTCAAATGAGCTCAATGTTCAATGCATGACATATGTTACAAATGCTGTGTCCACATCTTACAGAGGGATTATTTAATCCTCCTGAAAACCCCTGTGAGTCAGTACGATAAACCTCAGTTTTTACCCAACCCAAGTTGGCCATGAGGAAATATCAAGGTCCCACCCAGGGCGCTGTGCTGTCACGTTGTGTGGCTTAAGTCCTGTCTTGCCATTAAGTACCTGTCTGATTGCAGATAAGTTACTTGTCTCTCTGTGGCTCAGTGTCCATATCTGTGAAATAAAGAGACTAGACCATATGACACAACATCCCAGGTCTGAAGTTTGCAGATCCCATATGCCAGATAAGTGTATATTAATATAGAACATAGAGGCACTGAATTAGAGCTTCTTAGTTTTCTTTTTTTCTTTTTTTTTTTTTTTTTTTTTTGAGACAGAGTTTCGCTTTTGTTACCCAGGCTGGAGTGCAATGGCGCGATCTTGGCTCACCGCAACCTCCGCCTCCTGGGTTCAGGCAATTCTCCTGCCTCAGCCTCCTGAGTATCTGGGACAACAGGCATGCGCCACCATGCCCAGCTAATTTTTTGTAGTTTTAGTAGAGATGGGGTTTCACCATGTTGACCAGAATGGTCTCGATCTGTTGACCTCATGATCCACCCGCCTCGGCCTCCCAAAGTGCTGGGATTACAGGCGTGAGCCACCGCGCCCGGCACTTCTTAGTTTTCTGGTTACATCCAGTTTAGCTAACTTGGAGTCAGAATTATATTTTTATTTTTCCTCCTATATTTATTGAGAATGGCTCAAAGGATAGATTTGGTATGAAATAAATACAATCCATAAATGACTGTAGCCCCATATATATTTTATTTATTCTATTCCATTCATTCATTCATTCATTCATTCGAGATAGAGTCTTGCTTTGTCGCTCAGGCTGGAGTGCAGTGGCGTGATCTCAGCTCACTGCAACCTCTGCCTCCTGGGATCAAGTGATTCTTCTGCCTCAGCTTCCCAAGTAGCTGGGATTACAGGCAACCACCACCACACCCTGCTAATTTTTGTGTGTTTTTTTGTTTTGTTTTGTTTTCTGAGGTGGAGCCTAGCTCTGTCGCTCAGGCTGGAGTGCAGTGGTGGCATCTTGGCTCCCTGCAACCTCCACCTCCTGGGTTAAAGCGATTCTTCTGCCTCAGCCTCCCGAGTAGCTGGGATTACAGGCTCCCACCTCTGTGCCCAGCCGATTTTTATATTTTTAGTAGAGACTGGGTTTCACTGTGTTAGTCAGGCTGGTCTCAAAGTGTGTGGGTTTGTTTGTTTGTTTGTTTTGTTTTTTTAGTAGAGACAGGGTTTTTCACCATGTTGGCCAGACTGGTCTTGGACTCCTGCTCTCAAGCGATTCTCCTGCCTCAGCCTCCCAAAGTGCTGGAATTACAGGTGTGAACCACCACACCTGGCTCTCTCTCTCTTTTTTTTTAAATTTCTACTTGAATGTATGAAGTAGTAACCTCAGACTGGGCAGTCACTGTTCAACACATCAAAGTATTGGAATAGACAGCCATTTATCTCCCTAGGGGGAAAGTTTACTTGTTGTTTTTTTTTTGTTTGTTTGTTTTTTTTTTTTTTTTTTTTTTTTTGGTTAGTTGTTTTGTTTTGTTTTTTAGTTTAATTCTAAGGATCAAATGTAAGTTCTTCATTTTGGAAAGTTGTATCACATGCTATAAATGTGTTCTGGAAAAGTTTTTTGTTTAAATTAAATTCTATTTTAAGAACACTTGGTATTTGTAGGAATTATTGTTCAATTCAACAAAATGTTGCTAAAATAAATGAGTCATCTATCCTTATAAATTTATATTTTCTCACACTTAACCTGGCAATGGCTACTATCTTGTGTCCCAACGTTCTGGAATCACCTTTTCTTTAATATCCAAAGAAAGCGGTTTAGGTTCCCTGTGCTTTATATTGTAGGGAGTCCATAACTTTTCCCAAGATTCTAGAGCAGCACTGGCCAGTAGAAGTATCATGCAAGCTGTCACACGTTTACCTGTGTGACAAACCTGCACATCCTGCTCGTGCACCCCAAAACTTAAGTAAATAAATATTGTAAAAGATGCAAGTCACTTATATAATTCTAAATATTTTAACAGCCATATTGAAAAGGTTGAGAAGAAAAGGCACAGTTACTTTTCATTGAAATATTTTATTTAACCCTATCTATCCAAAATACTATCATTTCAACAAGTAGTATATGAAGTATTGAGATATTTGACTTTTTTTTTTTTTTTTTTCCATACTATCTTAACACATCTCAGTTTGGACAAGACACATTTCTTTTTTTTTTTTTTTTGAGATGGAATTCCACTCTTGTTGCCCAGGCTGGAGTGTAATGGAGTGATCTCAGCTCCCTACAACCTCTGCCTTCTGGGTTCAAGTGATTCTCCTACCTCAGCCTCCTGAGTAGCTGGGATTACAGGGGTATGCCACCAGGCCCAGCTAATTTTTGGGGCATTATTTGTAGAGACAGAGTTTCACCATGTTGCCCAGGCTGGTCTTGAACTCCTGACCTCAGGTAATCCACCTGCCTCAACCTCCTAAAATGCCGAGATTACAGGCATGAGCCACCACACCTGGCCTGTACTAGACACACTTCAAATGGTCAATAGCCACATGTGGCTAGTGGCTACTGTATTGAACAGAACAGTTCTAAAGATTCCTCAAGGTGTACATTCTTGTGGTTCCCTCACTCCAAATTCTTGCCAGTATCAAAGTCTTGGTCTCCTCCTGTGAGTGCTGTGCCTTTTTCATTGCTTCATCTCACACATCTTTCCTCTCTCTGCTTTTCCGTAGTACCACTACCCCAAGGCAGCTGTTTTCAGCAGACTTTGTTGAAGATCTGGGATAATGGTGGGAGGTTACAGCACAGAATAGGCAACAACTGCCCTCCTATTCTTAGGCCATCTCCAGCAGGAGACGTTTCTCATTAGCTAGAGCCTTTTCTTTTCTTTTTGTTTTTCTTTTCTTCCTTCCTTTTCTTTCCTACTCATTCCATTCTATTCCTTTTGTTTTTTCTTTTTTCCTTTTCTTTCTTATTCCTTTCTTTCATTATTTCATTTCATTCTTTCAATCCAGTGCAGTTTATGTTTACGGGAAAATTGATGAGAAAGTACAAGCCAGGGCCATTTTTCAGACTTATTCTGAACTTATCTGTACCATCTTGCCAGGGCTTGCTCTCTCTACAAAGACCCTTCTCTCTCCATCCTAATCAGATCAGGACTCTGAATTTCCTTAGGGTCTTTACTTTTTATAAGTCCCAGCAGAAATAGCAGTCTTTTCCCTGAGGAATGCTGTCTTCCTCCTAGCCCAAGTAACCGGATTGCAGCCAAATCCTAAAACATTTTCTTCCTGTTTCACCTACAGTTGCGATGTTCAGGTAGTGAGCTGATGTCCTGCGACAGAAGATTTTGGGTGGGGAGTATGTGCCAGAACAAGCCCGGGCTTTTGGTCAAGACCTGGCTGAGTGCACACGAGGTACACTCCACTTCTGACTGTGACCTTGAGTCCAGCCAAACTTTCTCCCTGGAATTCCCTTCCCTCCCTCCCACTTGGCTCTCCTTCACACATATACATTTTCTTTCTTTCTTTTTTTTTTTTTTTTTTTGAGACGGAGTTTCACTCATGTTACCCAGGCTGGAGTGCAATGGCGCGATCTCGGCTCACCGTAACCTCTGCCTCCTGAGTAGCTGGGATTACAGGCACGCACCACCATGCCCAGCTAATTTTTTGTATTTTTAGTAGAGATGGGGTTTCACCATGTTGACCAGGATGGTCTCGATCTCTTGACCTTGTGATCCACCCGCCTCGGCCTCCCAAAGTGCTGGGATTACAGGCTTGAGCCACCGCGCCCGGCCGACACATATACATTTTCAACAAAGCCTT